TGATTTTGGAATGGTTTGCATCATAGGAAGAAAAGGACTGTACCCTTCTATGCTGGTCAGGTGCAGTTGTACCCTTCTATGCTGGCCAGGTGCAGTTGTACCCTTCTATGCTGGCCAGGTGCAATTGTACCCTTCTATGCTGGCCAGGTGCAGTTGTACCCTTCTATGCTGGCCAGGTGCAGTTGTACCCTTCTATGCTGGCCAGGTGCAATTGTACCCTTCTATGCTGGCCAGGTGCAGTTGTACCCTTCTATGCTGGCCAGGTGCAATTGTACCCTTCTATGCTGGCCAGGTGCAGTTGTACCCTTCTATGCTGGCCAGGTGCAGTTGTACCCTTCTATGCTGGCCAGGTGCAATTGTACCCTTCTATGCTGGCCTGGTGCAGTTGTACCCTTCTATGCTGGCCTGGTGCAGTTGTACCCTTCTATGCTGGCCTGGTGCAGTTGTACCCTTCTATGCTGGCCAGGTGCAGTTGTACCCTTCTATGCTGGCCAGGTGCAGTTGTACCCTTCTATGCTGGCCAGGTGCAGTTGTACCCTTCTATGCTGGCCTGGTGCAGTTGTACCCTTCTATGCTGGCCTGGTGCAGTTGTACCCTTCTATGCTGGCCAGGTGCAGTTGTACCCTTCTATGCTGGCCTGGTGCAGTTGTACCCTTCTATGCTGGCCAGGTGCGGTTGTACCCTTCTATACTGGCCTGGTGCAATTGTACCCTTCTATGCTGGCCTGGTGCAGTTGTACCCTTCTATGCTGGCCAGGTGCGGTTGTACCCTTCAATACTGGCCTGGTGCAGTTGTACCCTTCTATGCTGGCCTGGTGCAGTTGTACCCTTCTATGCTGGCCTGGTGCAGTTGTACCCTTCTATGCTGGCCTGGTGCAGTTGTACCCTTCTATGCTGGCCTGGTGCAGTTGTACCCTTCTATGCTGGCCTGGTGCAGTTGTACCCTTCTATGCTGGCCTGGTGCAGTTGTACCCTTCTATGCTGGCCTAGTGTAGTTGTACCCTTCTATGCTGGCCTGGTGCAGTTGTACCCTTCTGTGCTGGCCTGGTGCAGTTGTACCCTTCTATGCTGGCCTGGTGCAGTTGTACTCTTCTATGCTGGCCTGGTACAGTTGTACCCTTCTGTGCTGGCCTGGTGCAGTTGTACCCTTCTATGCTGGCCTGGTGCAGGTTGGTAGGGCTGGAATCTCCAACTCAACCTTTCCAATATACTTAGATGTGGTTAGCATAGCTTGAGTCCTTTTCGATCCTTGCTGGCAAGGTGCTAGATCCCCAGCAGGGAATCAATTTAATAGAGAAGGTTAATTCCTACTTCAGCCCTTCTAAAAACCTAAAAATCAGTCTGCTGTTGGCATGAAAAGAATTAAAAATATAATTATTTTCAGTGTTTACAAAGATGCTATTAAATCAGCAAGAACTACAGAAGACCTAATCTTAAATAAAAAATTGTACAACACATCTAAGATTATATCAATGGATAAATGGTCGTTGCTGTACTTTGAACTGAACACAACAATTCAATAGTATTAACAATTAATCTATGGGTTAAGAAAACATATATATAAATATCTTTTTTATTCCAGCTTAATAAATATAACATTGGCAGTAAAAACTTTTTTTTGTAGTTTTCTGAGGTAATATATTTATAATTTTTTTTTATTACTTTTCATTAATAGTACTGTCATGCTGAAGTACTATGAATGGTCATTAAGCATCATGTTATTCTTTTTTTATGTATGTGTATGTGAAGGGAGTGAAAGGATGGATGGGTGGATGGGTGGATGGGTGTGAGGGTGTGCGTGCATACATGTGTGAATGTGCACATGAGGGAGTTTGTGTCCATGCGTGTGCTTGTGTACATGTGTGTGCATGTGTACATGTATGTATGTGTGTGCGTGTGTACTTGTGTGTGAATGTATGAGTGTGTACTTGTGTATGCATGTGTACATGTGTGTGTATGTGGATGTGTGTGTATGTGGATGTTTGTGTGTGTGAGTGAGTGTATCTGTATGTATTTGAGTGAATAAAATAGCACAGAAAAAAAAACAAAGTAACAACATTAACAATATGATTACTGAAAATATAAAAAGGTGAAATAAATATAACATGCACAACAACAATGCCGTCCTCCAGCATCAATAATATCACAACTCTCAGTCGATCACAAAGTACAGAGAATAATGCCCTGAAGTTTACAGATCTTTTCATCTCATAGCATCAACTGAAAGCATAAGAATTCCAAGGTAGAGTGTACAAAGGTCTCAAAATCAATTTATTTTGGATACAATATATTACGGGACTGCTCCAAAATTACTAACATTCTACAATTGTTTCAAAAATTTAATGCATACTTTTTTTTTTTTTTACAGTCAATGGGACATTTTGCAAAACCATCTACCTGCAAGACACTTACATTATTAATTAAATAGCATGGAACAAAATTATATTTTGATACCATGTAAATCACAGGGCAAATCCTTAAATATTCTAGATCATAAATCAACTTACATATAATGGACAGACTTGTAATATCCACTGCACAAGACAGATCTTAAAAAGCTGAGCACAGGTTTGTGTTCTGAACAGATCAATTATATTCAAATATCAGAGTTCATATTTCTAGAAAATTCTAAATTGGAGGCAGATCTTCACAAATTAAGATGACTTCATTTCAGCCAGTAGTAAAAGAAAATAATTTAACATCCTTCACCCATTAATAATATTGAATGTATTACAACTTATGCACTACATTTGTGCTAAGAAAATCAATGTTACAGTATCAATACTGCCATGAAAATCAAACTGCACATATCCCCTCTTTATCTACCTATCTTCAATTTCATTATTGCTAAAGGTATAAAATAATAACAGATTCTTGCACTAATATCTCAGAAACATAAAAAGAAATGTCCATTTTCTAAGTCTTTGACACTACACTTTGAGGTAAATATTGCAATGCAGTGAGTATTATTATTTGAACAAATTATTATGTGTATGTGGATGTGTGTGTATGTGGATGTGTGTGTATGTGGATGTGTGTGTATGTGGATGTGTGTGTATGTGGATGTGTGTGTATGTGGATGTGTGTGTATGTGGATGTGTGTGTATGTGGATGTGTGTGTATGTGGATGTGTGTGTATGTGGATGTGTGTGTATGTGGATGTGTGTGTATGTGGATGTGTGTGTATGTGGATGTGTGTGTATGTGGATGTGTGTGTATGTGGATGTGTGTGTATGTGGATGTGTGTGTATGTGGATGTGTGTGTATGTGGATGTGTGTGTATGTGGATGTGTGTGTATGTGGATGTGTGTGTATGTGGATGTGTGTGTATGTGGATGTGTGTGTATGTGGATGTGTGTGTATGTGGATGTGTGTGTATGTGGATGTGTGTGTATGTGGATGTGTGTGTATGTGGATGTGTGTGTATGTGGATGTGTGTGTATGTGGATGTGTGTGTATGTGGATGTGTGTGTATGTGGATGTGTGTGTATGTGGATGTGTGTGTATGTGGATGTGTGTGTATGTGGATGTGTGTGTATGTGGATGTGTGTGTATGTGGATGTGTGTGTATGTGGATGTGTGTGTATGTGGATGTGTGTGTATGTGGATGTGTGTGTATGTGGATGTGTGTGTATGTGGATGTGTGTGTATGTGGATGTGTGTGTATGTGGATGTGTGTGTATGTGGATGTGTGTGTATGTGGATGTGTGTGTATGTGGATGTGTGTGTATGTGGATGTGTGTGTATGTGGATGTGTGTGTATGTGGATGTGTGTGTATGTGGATGTGTGTGTATGTGGATGTGTGTGTATGTGGATGTGTGTGTATGTGGATGTGTGTGTATGTGGATGTGTGTGTATGTGGATGTGTGTGTATGTGGATGTGTGTGTATGTGGATGTGTGTGTATGTGGATGTGTGTGTATGTGGATGTGTGTGTATGTGGATGTGTGTGTATGTGGATGTGTGTGTATGTGGATGTGTGTGTATGTGGATGTGTGTGTATGTGGATGTGTGTGTATGTGGATGTGTGTGTATGTGGATGTGTGTGTATGTGGATGTGTGTGTATGTGGATGTGTGTGTATGTGGATGTGTGTGTATGTGGATGTGTGTGTATGTGGATGTGTGTGTATGTGGATGTGTGTGTATGTGGATGTGTGTGTATGTGGATGTGTGTGTATGTGGATGTGTGTGTATGTGGATGTGTGTGTATGTGGATGTGTGTGTATGTGGATGTGTGTGTATGTGGATGTGTGTGTATGTGGATGTGTGTGTATGTGGATGTGTGTGTATGTGGATGTGTGTGTATGTGGATGTGTGTGTATGTGGATGTGTGTGTATGTGGATGTGTGTGTATGTGGATGTGTGTGTATGTGGATGTGTGTGTATGTGGATGTGTGTGTATGTGGATGTGTGTGTATGTGGATGTGTGTGTATGTGGATGTGTGTGTATGTGGATGTGTGTGTATGTGGATGTGTGTGTATGTGGATGTGTGTGTATGTGGATGTGTGTGTATGTGGATGTGTGTGTATGTGGATGTGTGTGTATGTGGATGTGTGTGTATGTGGATGTGTGTGTATGTGGATGTGTGTGTATGTGGATGTGTGTGTATGTGGATGTGTGTGTATGTGGATGTGTGTGTATGTGGATGTGTGTGTATGTGGATGTGTGTGTATGTGGATGTGTGTGTATGTGGATGTGTGTGTATGTGGATGTGTGTGTATGTGGATGTGTGTGTATGTGGATGTGTGTGTATGTGGATGTGTGTGTATGTGGATGTGTGTGTATGTGGATGTGTGTGTATGTGGATGTGTGTGTATGTGGATGTGTGTGTATGTGGATGTGTGTGTATGTGGATGTGTGTGTATGTGGATGTGTGTGTATGTGGATGTGTGTGTATGTGGATGTGTGTGTATGTGGATGTGTGTGTATGTGGATGTGTGTGTATGTGGATGTGTGTGTATGTGGATGTGTGTGTATGTGGATGTGTAAATGCTACAGTAGACATTAATATTTCAAAAATATTTTGTTTTAAATTCCATACAAAAAACACCCTATCATTACCTTAACACGTATATTAAATCTAGTATGATTTAGTTAATGTTGTAGAGACAGATACTTCAAAAACATATTTCACATAGATAGCAAAATCTCTACAGCACTAAATTGATGACATTGGTTACAATGGGAATCCTAATGCAGAATAACTGAGGGTAAAATGAGCACAGCAGCAGATCTAGATGTTGACTGACTTGTATGTGAGAAAGTCCCGCCATGTGGTAGGTAAAGTGGTTTTGGACAGGGCCAAGAGAGATGCAGGTCCTAAGTGAAGCGTGAGTGCTCGGCGACACACACTTGACAGTTTTGGGGGCTGTCTCGTAGCGTCGTGAAGTAGTGCTCGTATTCCCGAGTCCTGTACTTCACTCTCAATCACACCGCCATGGATGAGGCGCTTAGTACGAGCACCAGCAGCAAGAAGAAGAACGACAGCACCCCAGGTGGCGTCCCTCCCTGCTGACCCCAAAGGCGTATGCCCCAGATGGTCTTCTGTGTCTGTGTCAGCACCAGCTGTGAGCAGGATTCGAAGGAGGTTAATCCGGTGATCAAGGACAGCAAGGTGCAAGGGAGTGTGACCCAGGGAAGTCTTAGTATTCAGGGCCTCCTTTGTTCCATACTCTAGTGCTGCTTGCAGAACACTCTCTGCATCACATCTGCCATTACGGACAGCAATGTGAAGGGGTGTCTCTGTGCTGCGGTTGGTTATTCCCACAGCAGGTGGGTAAGCAGAAGCCAGTTGCCGCACAACATGAGCTGGCATTCCACTCACATCCACAGCATAATGCAAGGGTGTGTTGCCCATGTTGTCAAGTAATGAAGGGTCAGCACCAGCAGACAGCAGCAACTCCACCAAGTCAGCATTGCCTGAGGCAGCAGCATAATGAAGGGCTGTACGATTGTCATCATCCAAGGAGTCTACACTTGCACGATGGGACAGAAGCAATTCCACCAACTCTGTTAATAAAATGGAAATTTTTTTACATTGATCACATTGAATAAAAAATAGGGAAAATCTTTTTTTTGTGTGTGTGTGTGTGTGAAATGACTTTGCACATAGACTTTGCTCTGCTAGTGCTTAGCCACAAAGGAATTAATTAGTAGACCTTGTGACCTTTCCTAATTTCACCATTCCTTGAATTGTCGGAAAAATGTATTTTTTACTATTACTATGAATATCGATGGTGTTATTTTTATTATAACTACTATAATGTTATAAACATTAGTAACAACAAAATAAGATAACATAAAATATTTTCATAAATCAAGGAAAAGGGTAAACAGACGAGACAGGCAGTGTAGTCCTCTGTGTGTAAAAACAATTTATATAGTAAATTCAGAGTGGGTATGGAATGTATGTATATATGCCATGCCTGTTGGCACTGGGTTAACTTAGCTAGTATATTTATCATTGAAATTGCTATAAAGTCATTAAATATACAACAGATGAGTCAAGAATAAAGAAGTTCATATCAATCAACTTTTTACAATCCAAATAAGTCATTGTATAGGCATAGTACAAATGAATATGTGCAAATAAATGAAAGAAGTCACATATTTCATGCATTATCAGTTAAGATATCAATAATGCTCTGATTTCATCCACCCATATTCCTGGGCTAAAAATAATATATCCTAACGTTAAACTGAAATGTTCACAGAATTTTCTAAGTGCTCTGTATCACTGAACATTTAGTTTTACTTTCAATATGTGATTTTAAAGGGGAGTATTACTTTTTTTTGCTTCAGCATGTCAAATGTTTATTTTCGTCTTATAAATTGTCAGATTTTGACACCGAAAGATGGGTCCTTACTTGTATTACATTGGAAAAGAATACCCTTGTCAGTTTTCAATTCTGACCTTATTTCTGTTGAAGAAGCCAGGGGGGAGGGCAAAATCCCTATCCATCCAGCAAGGGATTCAGTGGGGAAGGCAACCACCAGACTGCAGTTGAGGAACAAAGGAATTCAACCCCCAAAGGCATGCAGGAAAAAGTCTGCAGAAACCTAGCATGTGGCTACCAGGCCCTGTAGACCATCATCCATTTTTAACTGGGGCAGTGCCAGGGCGGATGCAGAGGTGGCATCCACCCCAAGTGACAGACTGAGGTTTTACGTCAAATAGGCCATCCAGGTGGGGGCATGGAACCTCCACTCTTTGTGTCTGTATGATCAAATGCCACTGTTATCGAGGGAAGAGAAACAGCTGAGGGTAGATGTGGCTGCTCTCTCAGAGGTGAGTCCTGGCAATGATTTCACCTTGCTAGCCTGACCATAGTGAGGGTCACCATCTCCATGGGATAGTATAGCCATTTTTAGCAGACTTCAGTCTTTGGTTGTATAGGTAGCTCTAGTCATCAGTGAGTGCATAATGGTACTGAGACTAATATGACATATGTCTTTTTAATTCTATGTACACTCCTACTGACATGTAAATTTGATATGAAATTGATGTAAAAGAAATATTTGTCAAACTCCCTTTTATGGCAAACAGCCGTAATAAAGAAGATACTGTACATGCACTTTTCTGTACAATTTCTATACAGTAACCATGATCAATCTGGCTGTGAGATATTTGATAATTCTAAGGATTGAACAGCCTCTTTCTCTTGTACTTTGTGAGGTCCAAGATACAGAGTATTTCCAGCTCCTTATATTAACACTCCAACTGGTATTACTGGAGAATTCTGTTCTACTGAATACAGATTAATCATGTCTACTCTCTGGGTCCACTTCAACACCCAATGACTTCCCTGGACATTTCACTTAGACAGACAGAGGGAGGAATGAGCTTAGGGGGTTTGTTATGGTTATCTCCAGTTGCTTCACAGCGCTCAGTAAACTTATAAAGCTGCAGCACTGAGGGACACCTTCAAAGACAGAACACTTGATGCAGCAGAATAGCCCACTTATAACCATACAAGAAAAAGGAAGAACTTTACCTCATAAAAGACACCAGAGGCTATGAATGTGTATCATATTGTCTGATTGGCAGGAGATTGAGATTTGTATCAATCCCTGGTGCATTCCTTTGTTAAGGGCAATCATGCTTACCAAGCCAAGAGAAAACAACATTCAAAGCCCACCCTACAGATGGCAACAGTTTGCTGAGGAGATAGAGAGATCATCTTTGTTTGTGTTGGGCACTAGGCTTAAGTTTTCTGAGAACTGTTTCAGGTTGAACTGCATGGATGTGGGTGGTGTCAGGATTCCAAAGATCCACAACAGACCAGATTTTTGGGCTTTGAAACATTGTAGAACACAACCATGAGTTTGGAGATGGTTTGGTTAAACCCTGCACCGACCAAGAAAAAGCATTCAACTTGGTGCACTGTGAATCACATTGGAAGATCCTGAAATTTAGGGAAATTCAAGCAAAGTAAGCTTATACAGCCTACTGCCACTGAAATTGCTGTAAAGTGTTGAGGGACTGGTCTAACTTCTTTCTTGTGAATTCAGGAGTGAAGCAGGGCAATGTCTTACATGAATGCTTTTCAATACTTGCATGGACTGAATGAGTGAAGCTGTCATCCAACACTGGGCAATGTTAAGGTCACCAGTATCAAGTTTGCTGACAATATTATTACCTAATCCAAGTCTAGGTGGCCTCTTTTGATGGCTCTCAATGTATTCATGGTGAAGTGCTGCCCATGAGCCAAAAGGTCTCTTGGACCAAGACCATGGTCCAGAACTTTGTTGCTCTGCAAGAATCTACCTCATCGGTGTGTACTTGCAAGTGAGACATGAAAGTCACACATTATTTTACATATCTTGGTTGTATACCCTGGGCTGTCAGACAAGGAAGTCTGGTCTGGTAATAAGAGCCATGAACTTCCTCAACAAGAGTATCTGGAAAAGCTTGGACCCTATCCTTCATTTAGGAGTCTTGTTTTGATGCCTTCTGCATCTTCTGTTGTATCATGGGGTCATTTTCAAGATCACCAATGCCAGTGTCCAGCTAGGCATGGACATTATACATGGATGAAAAAAGTGGCACAGGTAACCCATCATCACTGTATTTCTGTTATTTTATGTTAACACTGCATGCAAAGGAAGCGGAAAAAAACAACACAATATAACAACCTTTGAAAGTAAACAATCCCACATTTCTCATATAGGTTAAATTTCTAAGCTTGTCAATGGAAGAAATACATCTATATGCAACATGTGTTTCTTATCATATTTCAATTTTTTCATGAGAAAAATATTTAAAAATCTAATGAATGCTCTTCCTAAAGTTTTAATCTCTATTTAGTGAATATGCAACGTCTTTTTTTATTCCAAAAGACAGAGGTTGAGATGAGATTTTGCCAATTTCAGCCTTGCATCCTGCCCATAGCCCTATAAATTGTATATTTTACTTTTAAAAAATAATATTTGGCCTTTTTATGAGAAAAATATACAAAATTCAAAAGGTGGAATAGAGTTGCTCTGACCAATACATGAAAGTACTGGTCAATGCATGAGTGAAATCTTAACAAGGGGATACTCACTGCAGCTGTCCTTCACCCTTTATCACATGAGCTTTCACTTTCTTTTATGCATTGGCTAATAATATGATCATATATATATATATATATATATATATATATATATATATATATATATATATATATATATATATATATATATATATATATATATATATATATATGTAGATATATATATATGTAGATATATATATATGTAGATATATATGTAGATATATATATATATATATATATATATATATATATATATATATATATATATATATATATATATATATATATGATTGCTAATAATAATGTTATCTGAATAACAAATATATACAAGGATTGTGGATTTGTTTTTTCCAGACACTTACACAAGAAGTGACAATCATATCATTTCAATAAGTGTTGAAGAATGAGCTTTCATATTCATTACAATTCTCTTCAGTATGAGAGGTTAAAATTTACATCTTAACTCATGGTAATTCTAGAAGATTTTTCATGAAACCAAAGTACCTAGAAAGTCAGAGAACATGGCAATAATTTTTAGGATTTTTTTTATGAATCTATCTTTCCTTGGACATAGCTTCTTGACAAAGCTCATGGTTATAAGGTTTTACATGTCAAAATGGACAATAAACACTCAACAGTTTCCACATGATCTTTCTTTTCCTTATTGTGAAGCATGCAACCTTATTCAAGCCTAGTATGCCTCTGATTCCCAAATATTCCGACCTGATCCTTATACAAATTAATAATAAATCCTAAAGGGCTCTGCGAACCAATGCACCTCCACCGAACAGCAAAAAACATGATGTTCTAGCTATTGTAATACAAAGACCTGAAGTGCTATAAATGGGACTCCTCCTTACCACTGTTTCCTCTCATCGCTGCCAGATGGAGAGGCGTGTGGTTCTGGTGTGTGCGGGCATTGACATTAGCTCTGGCTTTGATCAGCAGGCCTGCCAGATGGATGTACGTGTGAGAGCAGGCTATGTGTAGTGCAGTCAGCCCCTGAGAGTCACCCTGGTTGATGCTCACTCCCAGCTCCACAAACAACTGGACTGAAAGGAAGAGAAATATTAGGGAGAGAATACACAAACACAAATAGGAAATGAGTAGAACTCACTATCACACTGATAAGTATAAATAAGTATACAGATCACATACAGTGTCAGTATGTCTCCCTCTCCCTCTCTCTCTCTACCTCTCCCTCTCTCTCCCTCTGTCTGTCTGTCTGTCTGTCTGTCTGTCTCTCTCTCTCTCTCTCTCTCTCTCTCTCTCTCTCTCTCTCTCTCTCTCTCTCTCTCTCTCTCTCTCTCTATCTCTCTCTCTCTCTCTCTCTCTCTCTCTCTCTGCTCTCTCTCTATCTCTCTCTATCTCTCTCTATCTCTCTCTCTCTCTCTCTGTGTCTGTCTCTGTGTCTGTCACTGTGTCTGTCTCTGTGTCTGTCTGTCCCTCCTTCCCTCACTCCCCTTCTCCCATACCTTCTCCCTCTCCCTCCCTGCCTCCCCAAAACGAAAAAAATTCCTTACCCATATCCTGCGCATTGTTCTCGACGCAGAGGCAGAGCGCGGGCCGCTGCTGCGAGTTGATGGAGAACCTGGTGTCTGTGTCGACGCCCTCCTGGAACAGCTTATGCACACGCGGGACGTCATTGTTCTGGATGGCCACCAGCAGCTGCGAGTCCAGGTTCCAGCGACGGGCGAAGGTGGTCATGGCGGCGCTCTGGGGACGGAACCAGGAGACGGCGTTAATTAAGGGCCCGTTTGCGTTTCGGGAGGACGGGACGAAGGTGTCAACGTGGGAGGAGGGGATGGGGGGGGGGGTGAAGGGGCGGGGTACCAGGAGCGTGTGCGTTTCGGGAGGACGGGACGAAGGTGTCAACGTGGGAGGAGGGGGATGGGGGGGAGGAAGGGGGGGGAGGTACCAGGAGCGTGCGCCTGTGTTTTCGTAAGTGGCCCTCGCTGGATTCATCCCGGTGATTCCCCTGGAAACACCGGACGAGTATGGACGTGGCCTCTACTGGTCAATGTTTCAGATTTTGTGTGTGTGTGTGTGTGTGTGTGTGTGTGTGTGTGTGTGTGTGTGTGTGTGTGTGTGTGTGTGTGTGTGTGTGTGTGTGTGTGTGTGTGTGTTTGCGTGTGCGTGTGTGTGTGTTTGCGTGTGCGTGTGCGTGTGTGTGTGCGTGTGTGTGCGTGTGTGTGTGCGTGTGTGTGTGCGTGCGTGTGTGCGCGCGTGCCTATGTGCGCGCGTTTAAGTGTGCGCATATTATGTTTAAGTCCTATACTTGAAACAATGTTTGTGAGATGACAACACGTAAGAACATAAAAAAAATATATAAGAAAAACAATGCCCCTCCCCAACCCATCCCCCCCGCCATCCATCTTGAGGGGGTGGGGGTTGGGGGTACGTGTATGTGTGTCAGCGGTCCTACCTTCGCCCGGGGCAGGGGATGCACCCTTCCGCCTTCCTGCTTTGGACTCGATCTAGAACCCCCGTGACACCTTTACCCAGAAGGATACCCTACTTTAGGCCTGGATATGGGTCAGTGCCTTTCCTGCGTGACCCAACAAATGGCCCTCAAGGTAAATAAGTTTCCCCCCCAATACAGGTCAAATTTCCCTTTTTAATTTCGGTAGATCACAGCCAAATAAAATCGAATTATTTCTAATCCAACACACGTCTCAGTCACTACTTTTTTCACCCAACTTCAAATCAACACACACACACAACTCAAATCCTAAAACAAACACAAACACTCAAAAAAATTATTGTTATTGTTCAGCACGTGCGCGTCGTCCGCTGAAGCAAGGTCAAATTTCCCTTTCCGTCCTTTCGAGGCGAACGTTCAGTTTCGCCGCCGTGTTGCTGAGACAGGAGGGAGGAGAGCAGGAGAGAAGTTTCGAATGAGAGAGAGAGAGAGAGAGAGAGAGAGAGAGAGAGAGAGAGAGAGAGAGAGAGAGAGAGAGAGAGAGAGAGAGAGAGAGAGAGAGAGGGAGAAAGAGGGAGAGGGAGAAAGAGGGAGAGGGAGAAAGGAAAGAGGGAGAGGGAGAAAGAGGGAGAGGGAGAAAGAGGGAGAGGAAGAAAGAGGGAGAGGGAGAAAGAGGGAGAGGAAGAGAGAGGGGCAGGGACAGGGAGAGAGAGGGACAGGGAGAGGGGAGAGAGGGAGAGAGAGAGAGAGAGAGGGAGAAGGACTGGGAGAGGAGAGAGAAAGAGAAAGAGAGAGAGAGAGAGAGAGAGAGAGAGAGAGAGGAGAGAGAGAGAGAGAGAGAGAGAGAGAGAGAGAGAGAGAGAGAGGGAGAGAGGGAGAGAGGGAGAGAGGGAGAGAGGGAAAGAGGGAGAGAGGGAGAGGAGGGGGAGAGGGAGGGAGAGGCGGATAGGAGAGGGAGGGAGAGGCGGATAGGAGAGGGAGGAAGAGGCGGATAGGAGAGGGAGGTAGGTAAGGAGGGAGGGAGGAGAGAAAGAGAGAGAGAGAGAGAGAGAGAGAGAGAGAGAGAGAGAGAGAGAGAGAGAGAGAGAGAGAGAGAGAGAGAGAGAGGGAGGGAGAGAGAGAGAGAGAGAGAGAGAGAGAGAGAGAGAGAGAGAGAGAGAGAGAGAGAGAGAGAGAGAGAGAGAGAGAGAGAGAGAGAGAATGCGCACCAAGACGGCCGTGACTTCATTTAACAGATAAATTCACGACAAAAACCCCCTGAAGCTAACTTCTTTACAACCTCAACTCAGACAAGTATATATATAATTTTATACAAACAAATGCCTATTTAATTTATATTTCCAATCAATTGCAACCATTAAGCTTCCTCCAGTTTGAAATTTGCATCCTGAATTATAGACCTGAAACACTATCAATATGAAACGTAAAAAAACACATTCGTAAACAACTACATGATATCCACTTCATAACAAACGTGACGAAATCTCGCTTTTACGCACCGCAAGCGAATCACTATTATTATGCTTTCCTGCAAACGCGCTATTCTATTTTCTTCAATTTCCCCGCAATCAATGATCATTTTCTTTTCTTTTCTAATCTTTCGCAAATGCAACGCCGCGTGTCTGAGAGTTGAAGGCCAAGGACAGCCACTCAACGAAAGGCAGGGTTCCTATTTTTTTCACCCAAAGCCAAAGTTAATTGTATTCGTTCCTTTTGTTTATCCAAGTTAGAAGTCATAATTACCAATATAAAGTATACACCAAAGTCAAGGTCCTGAGTCGAGGGATTGACTATCTAAAGTTCAAAATCAAAAGGTAAACAGGTGACTTGGAGAAATTCGGTTCATTTTCACACAGGATACGTTTGTGCAACTATTAGTGCACGCTGGTAAACTGGCTCTTGCCCGGGTCCATGAGTTCATGAGCAACTGCAAACATGAGAAAGAGAGAGGAAGAGAGAGAGAGAGAGAGAGAGAGAGAGAGAGAGAGAGAGAGAGAGAGAGAGAGAGAGAGAGAGAGGGAGGGAGGGAGGGAGGGAGGGAGGGAGGGAGGGAGAGAGAGAGAGAGAGAGAGAGAGAGAGAGAGAGAGAGAGAGAGAGAGAGAGAGAGAGAGAGAGAGAGAGATAGATAGA